GTACAAATGGAGTTTTTCCCCTGGTAATGGCTTTGCGAGTAGAGGTGCCGAGCAGAGATAGTCTTTTAACTGCCCTAGCGCTTGCTCACACTCTTCCGTTCATTCGAACGGTCCCTTCTTCCTAAGAACTTTGAAGAACGGAAGACATTTGTCCGTCGATCTTGACACGAACCTATTCAAGGCTGCAATCCTGCCATTGAGGCACTGAAGCTGCTTTAGAGTCTTGGGTACCTCCATCTCGAGCACGACCTTTATCTTCTCTGGGTTAGCCTCAATCCCACGGTTATTTACCATAAAACCAAGGAATTTTCCCGAGGAGACACCGAAGGCACACTTGGTCGGATTGAGCTTCATTTGGTACTTGCTAGCACTCCAAAAGCTTCGGTCATATCGGAAAGATGCGACTTTGACTGCTTGCTCTTGACAAGCATGTCGTCCACATACACTTCCATATTCCGACCGATCTGCTTGGCAAACATTTTGTTCACCATCCTTTGGTAGGTCGCACCCGCATTCTTTAGGCCAAAAGGCATCACCTTGTAGTAGTACAGACCTTGGTCTGTTATGAACGCGGTGTGATCTTGGTCTGGCAAATGCATTTTAATTTGGTTGTATCCGGAGTAGGCATCCATGAAGGTGAGTAGCTCGTGCCCGGCTGTTGCGTCCACGAGCTGGTCGATCCTTGGAAGGGGGAAGCAACCCTTTGGGCACGCCTTATTTAAACTAGTGAAGTCCACGCACATCCTCCACTTCCCGTTGGACTTTTTAACTAATACTACATTAGAGAGCCACTCGGGATACACAATTTCTCGTATATATTCAGCTTTTAAAAGTTTGTTTACTTCCTCAACAATTACATCACTCCTCTCTTTATTTACAGGTGTTCTTTTTTGCTTTACAGGTCGGAATGATGGGTCTATGTTAAGGCGATGCACCATGATCTTCGGGTAGATACCAGGCATGTCCTCGTGAGACCATGCGAAGACGTCCGAGTTAGACCTGAGGAAGTTGATCAGTTCTTCCCTGTCAGTGGCCCCCAGCTTGGTTCCTATGCTTACTTGTTTTTCGGGGCTAAGTAAAAGAACAAGCTCGAGCTCCTCTGTTGGCGGGGAGAACTGCCTTTTGCCTCCCTTTGACAGGTCGGCCTCTTACTCCTGCAGCTTGCCACGATTGGTTTGTTCTTCCAGGACGCATACCACCGACCCTTTAAGCGCGGATGCATAATATTCCTGTGAGGTTTTTTGTTCACCTCGGACCGTGCCCACCCCATTCGGGGTTGAGTACTTCAAAACTTGATGCAGTGTGGAGGGGACGGCCCGAAATGAGTGGATGATGGGTCTCCCGAAAATGGCGTTATAGGCCGATCTGCCGTCGATCACTACGAACTCGCCCATCTGCGTTACTTGGATAGCATCTTGCCCGATAGTTACCGGCAGCTCAATGCACCCTTCTGGGGAGACCGATTCTCCAGAGAATCCAACCAAGGGTGTTGGACTCTTCTTCAACTATGACCTGGTCCATCCCAAGGCAAGATATGTTGGGAGAGACAAGATGTTGGCAGATGCGCCTCCATCAATCAGTTGTCTTCGGACCAGGACGTGGTCGATGAGAAGAGCGATCACAAGCACGTCATTATGGGGCAAATGGACCCCCTCTAGATCGGCATCGCCGAAACTGATGGAGCAAGTGGGCTTCTGCTCCCTGATGATACATACCTTACGTCTGGCCTCGCGAGCTAACTCTTTCCTTTTGTTTCCGGACTGGCCTCCACTCGGGCCCCCGAAAATAGTGTTGATGACCGCAGGTCGGTCATGCCGGCGAGGCGGCGTTCTTGAACGCTTCCTCTCTTCTTTCTTTTCGACCAAGTTAGACCTCGGTTTGCCCACAAATTTTTTGAATTAGCCATCTTGAATGAGATCTTCAATCTGACGCTTCAATTCTCAGCAACTTGTTGTATTGTGGCCGTGATCGAGATGAAAACGACAGTACTTGTCTTTGTTACGTTTTTCTGGGTCTCCACAGAGCTTCTCGGGTCGCTTGAGGAGCTTTTCCATCCTAGTCTCCTCAATGTTTGTAAGTATTTCAAAGATTGGGATGGTGGTCGGGGT